GAGTGTGACAAAAGGCCTTTTGAGGTCCAGTCTGAGAGCACAATGTCATATGGGGTGTTACTTTTGTAATTTGAACTACAGAGCTGGGCCCTTAGGTACCTGCTGTGGTGAAGTGTTAACCTTTGCTTTAGGCAGTGGTGCAGCAACAGTTTGGTGCTCAGACTGATCCAGGGAGCTCCGCTGAGCCCTGATGTAACTGAACTGCTTCCACCAGCTCAGCTAGACCTACCTCACGTACACATGGGAGCAAAACACGCTAAGAAAACTGTAGCAGTGAGACTATAATTTTCAGTGTGTGTACACTTTCACTTAGAACGTGGCCTTACAGGTGGGTTGTGTAGTTAACTAATTTATTTTCTTAATAAATGCAGAACGTTGTTACTTAGAGGTTGGAGCATGGGGAGAGGATTGTGTTAGAAATTTGCCAGCAATCATTAAAAACACGATGGTGGATTTTCAGTGCTGTCATTTTTTTTCTGCAAATACAGCTGGATGCTTGTGACTTATTTTAATGTAGGGCTCCCAAAAGGGAGTTCATGTGCAGGAGTGAAAGGTAAGACTTTAATCAAGTGGTTAGAAAATTGTACTGAAAAATCTTTAATGGTCCTAAGTCTTAATGCCATATGTTGTATCCTAACTTAATCTGTCAACTTAAATTTGTCATTTTGGTAACATTAACTTTCTTCCTTATTGAAATAATTTCCTATAGCAAACTCTTCCATGTCCGACCAGTCACTCAGACTGATGTGTACAGAGCAGATTCCAAGGAAATTCCTAGGATATTCCAGGTATTCATTAATAAATTAATGCTTCTAATGTAACAGATGTGGTATTTCGCACATTGTCAGAAATACTGTCTAATGAAATATTTACTAAAAAAATTATTTTAAAATTGATTCTAGTCTAATTGTTCAGTCTTTCTACTTAGATAATGACTCTGAATTTACATTTGTCCTCTAGGAGTGCTGAGATTATTTTGCTTTGATTCTAGATTCTGTATGCTAATGAAGGAGAGAGCAAAAAAGAACAGGAATTTCCTGTGGAGCCCATGGGAGAGAAGTCAAATTACATTTGTCACAAAGGACATGAGTTTATACCTACTCTTTACCACTTTCCAACCAATTGTGAAGCTTGCATGAAGCCACTGTGGCATATGTTTAAACCTCCTCCTGCTCTAGAATGTCGCCGCTGCCATATCAAATGTCACAAAGATCACATGGATAAAAAAGAAGAGATTATAGCGCCTTGCAAAGGTAAATACCAAGTGTTTGAATATGCATGTAGTGCTGGAGTGACAAGGCATTCTGATAGATCAGAGGATCCTAGTAATGGTCTGATACCAACTAGAAGTAAACAGGTTGGCTTTTCTTTCATTAGTACACTGCCATCAGCACCTTTGTAAGGGTGTCTGCGTGAGGGTCACTCACCGCTGTGATTGAATGACTTGTGACTGCAATACATGCATGCCTGTTGTGTTGTCAGCCTCTTGCAGTAAAGTGTGGTCGCTGTAAGGCAGCTCACACTGCATGTTGTGCTCTTTGCTGTGGGAGACTAGTGTTAGCGCATGTAATGGAATGGATGACATCCAGTGAAGGTTACTCCTTGTGACATTATGTAGTTCTTGGGCTCAGGCACATCTCTGTGTTACTCTTGTTTTTTTCCATGTGAGTGGCTATCCTCCATAATTCTAAGTTGTTACTCTCTAAATATAAGGAGGAAGCACTTTCAGCAGCCCAGGAGCCTCAGTTTGGCAAAATCTGGTTCTTTTTGCTTTTGATTTCTCTGTGTTGACTGAGAGAGTATGGCCATCTGACAGCTAACTTTTGATGTGGATGCATGTTTAGAATTATAACAATATTCATTATCATTACAGTGTACTATGATATTTCTACGGCAAAGAATCTACTACTGTTAGCTAATTCTACAGAAGAACAGCAAAAATGGGTGAGCCGACTGGTGAAAAAAATACCCAAGAAGCCTCCAGCACCAGACCCCTTTGCTCGATCGTCTCCCAGAACTTCCATGAAGGTACAGCCAAACCAGTCCATCAGACGACCAAGTCGACAGCTTCCTCCAAACAAACCAAGGTGACATAAGAGCTGCTATTTAATGTATTGTTTTAAATGTTTTACTGCAATTAATGTCATATATGTTAATAAGAATAATTGATCTCAATTGTTGTTGACTATTGGCATGTAATCTGACATGTAATCTTCTATAAACCTCTAAGTTCTAAGAAGAGCCACCATATTTGTTCCCTTGTTTGAAGGACTTTGCACTACATGTTAGTTGACCCTACCTTATTGATAATGTGTCTTCTTGCTCTTACCTGAAACAGAACTTCTGCTGTCATCTGTGGCCTAATAGTTCCTGTGAACTGATAGGGAAAATGGGATTTAACTAGGCAAAGAGTCAGTGAGAAGGGATGTTAAGATTTTTTAAAAGAAGAATAAAAATTTAAAAATTTACCCGGTGGCCACTGCTGCGCCTGATTTGAAGTTGAGCAAGGGTGCTAGGTGCTTGTGGTTCTGATGAACCTTAGAGACAATTAGGTGCCTTCAAAAATCAGTATAGAAGGCCTTACACATAAGAAAAAACTGTATGTATTTAATTTTTTATTTCTTGGGTTTTGGGCATATGTTTAAGTTCCTGCCCTGTTCTAAAGTTAGACACTTGATCAGAGATTTTTTATGTTAATGTGTACTTCATCTGACCAAATGTATATATCTCTATGTCTGACTCCGTTTACAGTTGATGTTTAGGAAGAGTTTTTTCAGAATTTGTGTCCTATTGTACAAAAGGAGCACACAGCCTGCTCTCAGACATCTGCAGCTAAAACCTGATGCAGATGAATCTCACTTCTGCGTCTCTGCCCATGTGGGTTCCATAGGGTGGAGACTGTTGCTGTACTGGCAGGCACCTCTCTGAGCATCTCTGGTGCGTTTTGAAACAGAGAAGGAAGATGGGAGGTGGAGGGTCACTAGTTGGTCAAGTAACTTACCCAAAGGCTGAGAGAATTGGTATCAATTTGTTATTCAGCCTAGAAGGACTCATGCTTATGTCTCATGATTTCCTCAAAGAATAGTTTTACCAGAATCTTCTGATTTGGGAAAATAGGTTCAAACAAAAAAAACCCAGTAATCTATTACTGGATCAGCTTTAAGGAGCAAAGTCCTATACTGTGCTGTGGAAGTGATAGCATTCTGCAGGTAGTATTTATGCGATTGCAGAGTACAGAATTTCTGTTTTTTACCAGCTTGCTGCTTTTCATCACCTGCAGCACTAGCTAATACTTGCTTCTGTCAGTCCCCTGTTGCTGCTAGCCTTTGAAAAGGTTGGTCCGACTTGCTGTGTTTGTTGCAGGATTCCAGCAGCAATGGACAGTTCAGCAAAGGCTTAACATTTTTCCCCAGAGAGGTAATTTGGCAGGGGCTAGACAGGATTGCTGTCCTTGTTTCTGTAACCAGACTGGCACCAGTAGCTCAGCTGGCTGGGTGAGAACTGGGTTGGGTGCATTGCCAGAGTTACAGTAGAGAATGCAGGGAAAACACACACTTGCTGGGATGCTGCTGGTACCACAGAACATCCTTATGCTATGAAAAGTTAGGTCTTAAACAAATACTGGTATTTTAATGGCTGGAAATGCATAGCGAAAGGACTTAAAGGGACTTAATTTCACTTCTAACTTTCATGCAGTCTTATTTTTGGTGATTTAATTTACATATTTAAAAGAGAGTCAGACCTCATAATTTGGATTTTAAATGAATAGATTATTTTAATTATAATCATGAAGGAAAAAAGTTTTTTAATCATTTTTAAGGACTTTTTAGAGAATGAGAATCAAAGGGATCACTTGAACCAAGAGGCATTCCATCTGGATAGAAGGAAAATCCAGCACAGGGAGGCAGGCTAGTGAGGCTGGACAGGTTCCATCCGTAGAGGCTTTCAAGATCTGACAGGACAAGGCCTTGAGCAGCCAGGGCTGGCCTTGTAGCTGACCCTGCTTTGAGCAGAAGTTTGGGCTAGAGACCTGAGCTTCCAACTGCATAGTCCTAAAAGTGCTGTCTCTGCTAGGAATTTCACACAGTGATTGCTACTCTAAGGTTTTCATGGCTGTTGTTCTTTGTGATGATTTAAGAAAGGGCAAACCAGTTTTTGATACAGACCGTATCATTTCTGCTTAGACATTCCGTTCGATTGTGCCAAAAGGATAATTCCAAATTAAAAAAAATCAGTTTTACTGTATTCTAATTCCTCATAAACTCTCTAAGTGTTTCAGCCATAGTTCATATAAAAATTAATATTGAGCTTTTTCAGGGAGATATCACATTTAAAGGTTTACGTAATTTAAAACCTGAAAATCCAACACACACCTCCAAAAAAACCCATTTTGCTTAAAGCATGTGATTAACTACATTAAACAGTGTAGCATGTCTCAGTTAAAACACACTGACACACTGTCAGGGTAAGGTTTCTATGTCTGCCTCCTGTGGTTGGCATATAATCCTGATTTCAAATCCTTTGAGCTCACTGGAGAGATGACTAGACTGGGTTTCATTTCTTGTAGCTATAGCAGTTGAGGAGTTAGTACTTAAGGCATTGGTCTAAGATTGTTCAATAACAACAGACAGAGAGCTGAATGCTTCTAGACAATGATTCATCCCACCCCAGAATAAATGCCTCAAGTAAAATGACTCATTTGCTGACAGGGTTTGCCTCACTTGCTTTCTTTGTTCTGTAGTGACCATAGAAGGAATGCAGACAGTGAGGCCTAGAGAACAAGTTGATATATCCTCTTTTTTGGCATTGCTTAACTTTAAACAACGAGCTACAGAATAGCTGTATAGTGTAATCTGCATTTGGGATGCAGTAAAATCCTGCTGTACTTGTTTGTACATTCAGGTGAAGCTACCTTATTCCGTATTCTGTTCAGCAATTAAGATTACTTGATTTTACTGGAAAATTGTTAGCTTTGCATTATTGTCTGGAAAGGGGAAGCAGGAAAGCATAAAACCACCTCAGTCAGTAAGACAAGCAGCAAAACAGAAAACATTAATTTAGTGAAATGTACATATTTGTCTTTTCTTCTGAAATTTTTGAGGAAAAAAAATCACTATGGTAAGTGTTCTATATGGAATGATTTTTGAAATGAATTTTCAATGTATAGAATATCCCTAGCTTACATAGACACTAACTGAATTCCTATTCCATGACAGGCGAAGGAATCAACCTACCTACCTTAACACAGTCTTTTACTCAAAAAGGTTTAGTGATAACAAATGGAATTTTGAAGTCTTTCATAGAAGTGTGATGCTCATTAAACATCAAACCCTCCTGTTGCAGATTACTTGATCTGGCATTTAAGGACTGGGATTGGTCATTTGATGATGTTGATGATATTGATGGTGATGATGACGATGTTTTTGATTTCTGAAGAAGTATAAGGGGTAAATCTAAATAGAGAGTAGTGGATTTGTTTGCCTTTGAATACAGCATGCTATGTTGGATTTTGTTTCTCAAAATACAGAAAAAGCAAGATCTCATTTTAATATTTGAAACAGTAAAAATGAGATTCTTTTCATGATGTCGAACTTCTAGAGGAGTTGTTTTCATTAAAAAAATGTTGTTGCCTTTGTCAGTGTTTTTATTTTTCTAATTTTAGATCTTTTTCTTTCAAAATTCATGTCTGCCTGCCTGGAAAAAAATTACCTGCTGTTGTCAGGGTCGTTGCTCATCTGTAGTGCTAATACTGCTAACCTCAGCAGAGAATACTTGAAGGATAAAAGGGAGGTGATAGCAGTTGGATGTTTAGCTGAAATAGACTTGGTATTTCCAAATACTTTTCATTTTTAAGTTTTTAACATAAACTGATTGGCCTATGGCTAGCAGACATGAAATCACTGGAGTTCTGCATTTTGCTTTTCTACCTGTGTTCTGAAGTGAATTTGACTTGGCTTTCCTTTGCAGTGCTGTGCTTTTTGGGTACCTAACCGTGCATTTGAAAACTATGTAAACAAACAGGCTTTGCAGCTTCTGTAATGTGGTTTCCTTGACTGCTCTAGAACAGATTCGGCTGGTTTAGTGATCTAATTTGTCCCATGACTTAAACATGAATGTACTGGAAATAGTGTTAACTATTTTATAGATCTCAGTGTTGAAATCATTTTACATGTTGATGCAATTTTATGTTTACACAGAAAAAAATTCCTAAATGTTAAATGCTTAAGAATTCTCTTAGTACATGAGGTTTGTCTCAGCCCTATAAAAGAAGGGGCAATGACAGGAGCTCTGGGGCTGCAGCTCAGCTGTGTGCTCAGGGGCCTGAAATACCAGCTCCTGTAGAATTTAACCGGCTTAGTGTTCACAGTAACAAGCATTGCGTTCATGAAATATGCTGCATCTTTGTGTATTAAAAGCTCACAAATCACTAATCTTTTAGAAGTGATTATTACATTGTGCTTACTGTACTTTACCCTCATATATTACAAGGGGGGTTAATTGATTTGGGATCGTCATGCGCAAGGATGTGCCATACTTTAGTATTGATGCTGTTGGATGCAGAGGAGTGCTGTTTCTCCCAAGTATGCTGATGAGCCCATCTTAAATGAAGACTTGGAAGTATATTTTTGTCAGATTTACATTTGTTGCATTTACTGACCAAACTTCCTGCTTCTTTTTCAGCTAACTGCTTTCCGTGAATGCAGACACAGTTCAAGGTGATAATTTTCTTCCTGTTACAGCAAGACTGAAACATATCCCAAAATATATTAAAAATATATATTTTCCTGAGAGATTGTGCTATATATATCAGAGGTTTACATTTTTGCTGCAATATAAATTACTAATCTCTGAGGGTTTTCCCGTATTCTCCCATGTGACTGATAAATTGAGGAATGGTTGATAAATAGTAAAAGGATATGTTAGGTAACCTTTCAAAGTCTGTTCCACAAAAGCTTTCTTGGCAAAACACATACACTACATTTCATAAAAGGATTGAGAGGAATGAATATTAAAGTGGAAGAAACTGACTTTTCAGCTTTCGTAAAGATGCCACCAGCACATCTGCAAGAAGAACCGGAGGAAGATCCATCATAGTGCTATAGACTGCATCTGTAAGAAGTGACCATTATACTGTGTATATATATTGTACTGTAATACTGCAAGAGGGTTTTAAAAATCTTTCCACTTTATTTTTTTATGCTTATTAATCTGATACCGTTACTTATTGCAGTTGCAACTATGCACTTGTATAAAGCCATAATGTTGAAGTTTATATCATTCATACACGTCTATCAGAAGCTGCATGTCAGTGTTCAGCAGCTAGTATAGGTTTGAAGTATATACTAGTTTCAGCTGCATCATAATGGGCAGTCCTGTTTTACCTGTCTAATTGCCTTAATTTAAATTCTTTTCAATTTTTTTGCCCATTCTTTCTATTTAAGGAAAAGGAAAGTTTACCAGCTCTTAGGATGCAATTTTGCTTTGTGGCAGAAAAAATAGTGCACTATTTTTACACCTAGTAAGTATATCAATGTCAGCCTATTTTGAATGTATATGGACTGGTTTTAAGGGTGGAGAAGTGCTGGTTACACAAACAGTGTGTGAGAGCATTGGAATTACCAGACCATTTGCTTGTACATGTAACTGCTCATCCAGCCCTTTTTACAAACCTCAGTACTAGCTATTGACTTGTATTAACCCTCATTAAGTGCTATGAAACTTCATTTTGCCTTGTTTTTGCATACTCTCCTAGATGTGTTTTGTTTTTTATTTCTGGAAAAAAAAAAGGATCTGTGACTATTTTTACATTTCACAACACAATATCCAAGGACTGTCACAAACTTTAAGAAAAGTAAAACATACTGTAGATGTATTTTAAAGTTTTAATCTGGTTCTCTAGCACATAGCTATAGGCATAGATAAATATTTCAGTAGTGTGTTTTGAGAACTGATAGCTGGGAAGAAAGGGCCTCAGAGGCACTTACTCTGACTTTTTTTTAATCTTGGAGTTGTACAAAAAGTATAATTTATGTGGGCTCATTCATGATGTGTTCATAATTATCCCAGAGAATGCATGTTCTATACAACTACAGTATGCGATGTTAAACATATTGACAGTAAAAAAATGTAGTCTCCTATTTGGTCTCTTTATA